TTAAAACATGCTATTTGACATGCCTAGCCTTTTTATGATATCAAATTACAGATTTCAAAGTAATCTGACTGCATAATTTTTGTTTATATGATTTTTAAAGAAAAAAGGGAATTAATGAACGAGGTAAAATTTTCAGTCGCGTGAGTAATGTGGCTCAGGTTTGTTTTTCTTACTATCAAATAAATGAGTCAACCATTGTTTCATATATGTTCACAATAGATAGATAGATGGCTATGATAGATTGATAGATAAATAGAGAGAGAAAGAGAGAATTTTCATGGTATTGAAAAATTCTAATTGCTCCCTTTTCCCTATGAAACATGCGATGCTTTAAGTCACATGTCGACCCCAACCGAACTTATTACAGACTGAATAAAATAAAAAAGAAAGAATATTGTGCTACTTAACAATTATTCCTCAATTATTTCTAAAAGACCCATTTCCTTTTTATAACATTTACAAGAACCTTCGGGAACAAGACAACACCTAAAAATCTTTAAACCGTCTATATCTCAGATCCTGAAGTAACGTCATCACCGAAAAATAAATCAACCAAATTCAAATAATTATTTATCATACCTAAAATTTGCAAGAATATTGACCAAGCCGTGAATATTTTTTTTTGAACTGCATTAATATGGACGATGTTAACGCGAAAAGAAATGTTTTGTTTTTTTTTTGTTTTTGTTTTTTGTTTTGGTTTTTTGTTTTGCAAAGTGTGTTAACTTGGTTCCAAATATGACGCACTTTGAAAAACATTTTCAAAGTGCGTAATTTTACAAAGTGCGTTGTAACAAACGTATCTTGATCTGTGTTCATTTGTCGACAGTTTTGATTTTCCAATGTTTGGCATTGTTCTGCTACTGGCCGCTTGTAAAACTTTGTTGTCGATAATTTCTCAGTAAGATGTGATTAAAAACAAATTTCCAACCCCTAAAAAGGAATTTGCAGATTTAGCTTCAGGGGTGATTGGTATGATGGAATTTGGAAATTTGCAACGTCAGGTAGATGCAGAGTTTGGTTTTAGATTTTTTTTTTTGTTATGGGTTGTTTCTTTAAGCTTTGTCAACAAACAACCTATAAGCTGCGGCCCCTAAAATGCAATTGACAAATTATAATACTTGCTACAATGATAAACAGAAGTGGACCAAACAGGGAACTAACAGTCGCTAATACTTGTACATATTTCCATTCAGTCGCTACAAAACAGGCTTTAAGATGAAGTTGAAAGCCTGCTGTGGGCTGCGCTGAAAATGCTACAGTTGTCTTAAGTTCGATTAAAACATAGATCATATTTATTAAGACCAACGCCGTTATCATATGGCCTATAATTCTATGAAAGGAAATAAAAAGGAAGGCATTTAAGGGCTGTATTCTTGTTCTTTTTTGAATATTGTTAATATGCTAATTTTCTGAAAATATGCTTCTCAAATTCTAAATCTGTTAAATTTACATTATATATTTACATGGGTGTATACAAATATTTGACATTTTCTAGTGTTAGCCCTTATCCTTTTGTTACATTCTCAGTACAAATAATGTGTTCAAGATTATTATAATTTTAATTATAGGGGAACCTTCTATATTTCAATTGCCGATACAAGTAGGAGATACGCAATTTGACAACAACGTTACGGTTCAGATCAGGATTTATGATATTTACTATGATTATGACGTGGTTGAACAACATTTTACAGTAAGTTTTGATAAACTGTTGATTTGAGTTAATTTAAGTTAAATTTGTTACAAGTACTGTGGTAGAAAGTTTTTGTATGTTGTTTAACTTCCCTCTCGAGAATTTTTCACTCATATGGAGACGCCACCACTTGCCGGTGGAGAGCTGCAAATTTTGTCCTATGCTTAGCACTTACGGCCATTGAGCAGTGAGGGGTCTTTTTCGTGCCAGCACCTACTGCGACACGGGGCCACGGTTTATACGGTCTCATTCGAAGGACCGGTCTCCACGTCCCACAGTTGAATTCGAACCCGCGACGTAAGGTAGAAAGTCAAACGAATGAAAAAAAGGAATTTGGAACTTTTTTTAGGTTTCTCTCTCTCTTTCTATCTTGATGTTCATGTTCTTTTCATAATTCAAACATTTCAATCACTTCTATTGCTCTGATATGATATCTTCATAGGTTAAAACACCTCAAATTTATGTACCTGTCAGTGGAGGAGATGTGAATAAAGCATTGCTCTTGATTGAGACGTTTAATGATGCAATTGATCCTATGCGGGCAGGTGGTGATAATGTCAGAACATTTAGATATATCGCTTCCATTGTGTCTATGATTCATGAGCATCCAAACGTAAGAGCTCTAAGGCAATTCCTTTGCGTTTTACTTATATATAATAGTGAATTTGAATATGTATTTATAATTATTTGGCTTGTGGTAATTCAAAAAGAAAATAATTTCCTAGACTGATTCACTTTTTTTACCATGCAAGAAAATGAATACAACAACGTCAGAAGATATCATTAGTGGATCTGTCGATCACGTGACATTCTACACAGAGTCTGATGTAGAAATACTTTATGAAAATGTATGGAGGATAAGTATACCTTTTCAAGCGTTTACTATGATACACAATTTCATATCGTGTTGGCGGTACACCTTGATGTTTACATTTATTTACAGTCTGTATACCTTGGTATATGAAGGGTCTTTCATGTTTTGCATCCTTGCAAGTCGAGGGTTTTGGTCCCATGGTAAGCATGGCGAACCGAAAACCTTTGGCTTGTGGATATGTTGTTTTGCGACTTTTCAATTATTTTTAGCTCGCCTGAGTTCAAGTGAGCCTTCTGAGCTCAAGTAAGCTTTTCTGATTGAAATTTGACCGTTGTCTGTTGTCGTTACTTTTGTCATAATTTTTTTACTATGTCATCTTCTTTCCAGAAACACTGGGTCAATTTCAACTTGCTACAAATTAATCTTTGATAAAGGGGATTAAGGTTTGTTCAAATGAGGGGCCACGCCGTCTTTCAAGGGGAGATAATTAAGACGTAGTACAAATTTGGTGAATCATTTAAAAATCTTCTCAAGAACCACTGGACCAGAAAGATGAAACATATGTAGAGGCTTCCTGACATAGCAAGTTTGTTCAAATTATGGCCCCGGAGAGTAAGGTGGAAATACAATAGGGGATCGAAGTTTAACCTAGAAAATATATTACGGAAAATGTTTTCTTCTTTTCAAGAACAGAAGGGCCATGATTGGTGATATTAATATGCAAGTATTCACATATATTGCAGATTCAAGTTTGTCCAAATCATGCCCCCCTCCTCCTCCTGGGGGGATTAAGGTGGGGCCACATTAGGGGATCATTGTTCTAAATGGAAATTAATAAGGATTTCATTTTTAAACATTCTTTAAACAATACCAGGACCACACTTAACTTCATTCATAAGGAAAAATCCAAAGTTGTGTGGATTTTTTATTCAAATAATATATCATGCATGGGGTTACGGGAAGGCGAAAATCATAGAGCTATTTTCACCTATAGTGCATGTTTACTTCTGCAGAACAGCAGGAACATGTTAGTCAACATGATTTTGAAGCATCTGTAAGATTCAAGTTAGATTATGTTATGGCCCTTTTGTACTAGGGTGGTGTCACATTATGGGGAATTTTTCAAGTGAATAAAAATGTCTTTTTAAGGACAGTTCATACAAACAATTTTTTCTTTGGAGGAGACTTAATATCATGTCAAGGTTTTAGAAAAGTGGATAATTCTTTGAATTCTTCTCCTTAGACTTGGAGAATGAAATACCTTGCAAATTTCCGCAAAAAAGTACACAGCTAGAGTAATCATGTTAAAATTGTTTAATCTTCATTCATTTACCCTCTTTTTTCCTCAGAAATGTTTCTAAAGGAGCACAGAGTAAACTGATATTACATTTACTCAATAACCTGTTGTGTTTTCTTGCAAAAAGAAATGACACTTAGAAAATATTAGTTGATACTTCAATAGAATTAAAAATTTGAACAAATCACACTCAGTAAAGTTTACAGATAAAAATAAATTTCAGAATATGTTAGCATGGTGCTAAAGGTGAAATATAAACTTTGAAAAAATATAACAAGCCATCTCAATTTTATGAGGAAAAGCAAAATGGTAAAAAACAACCTAAATCACATAGGCTGATTTTTACCATTTTGCTTTTCCTCATAAAATTCACCTGGCTTGGTATATTTTTTAAAAGTTTATATTACACTTTTAGCACCATGCTAACATATTCTAAAATTTATTTTCATCTGTAAACCTTTACTGAGTGTGATTTGTCCATTTTTGTAATTTTATTGAAGCATGAACTAATATTTTCCAAGTGTCATTTCTTTTATGCAAGAAAATACAACAGGTTTTTGAGTAAATGTAATATCAGGTCACTCTGTTCTCCTTTAAAACATTTCTGAAGAAAAAAGAGGGTAAATGAATGAAGATTAAACAATTTTAACATAATTACTCTAGTTGTGTACTTTTGAGGAGAAATATAGAAGGTATTTCATTCTCCAAGTCTAAGGAGAAAAATTCAAAGAATTATCCACTTTTCTAAAACTGTGACATGATATTGAGTCTCCTCCAAAAAAAAAATTGTTTGTATCATATGTCCTTAAATCTTATTATGAAGAACAGGAGGGCCAAGGTGACTAAGGTGAGCACTGTAGCCCATGTAACTCTTGTTATTCACAGCATTGTCTGTTTTCCATCCATGATCCTTCAGCAAGATTAATAAATATCCAATCGCAAAAGAACGGATTTTTAAAATCTATCACATGTTTTATCATTCTGTAATGGTTTTGCTTTCTTGATTTCCCTTCGTCCCTCTAACACTGCATAAAATATTAACGCTGTCATTATTAATTTACGAAAAGGGGCAAAGTTCTTTTTTTAAATCTTTTTTTTTCAGTACTTTATTCAGCTGATTTATCATGAAATTTATCTCCATCTTCAATGTTACCAAAAGCACACACATTGATTTGTTTACAAAAGATTACACGATGTCGGGTTATGAAAAATGCATTAATGTCAATCATCTACTAGTAAGAAGGGTTAACATTTGATAAAGTACTATAATTTAAATCTTGTCTCATCAACATTAGCTTAAAAATATATACAACTGTACACAGTACTTAAAGTCAAGTAATGCTGTTCTCATTATTAAAAGGTTTTTTTTTTCCTATTACAGTTCATAACAAACATAACCGATATCATGGTCCAGGATTTTAAAAAGTTCTCCGACCTGTCTCATAACTTTAAGATCTACAGTTTATCGGAAATTTCATCGATATTTAGTGCAATTGATGCAGTTGCCAGACACTCCATTTATATAAAGTTTAATTCTTTAGTAAGTTCATAAATATGACAAAAATACATATAGAAATCTGTAGTCTGCCAGTGATTACTTCTGGGAAGGTTTATATTAGATGTTTTTAGTATTAGTTAATTAAAAGTAACCTAATCTACAAAAATATATTTGGAGAAAGAATTTCATAGAGAAGACTGACGCTTGACTTAGTTTGCAATGAAAGTAATTTGCTATTTTCAGAGAAGCATTTTACGTATTTTCCTGGACGTATCACACTGTTTTGTGTTAAGAGTGAAGCATACAGAACTTCCTTTGCGTAACCACGACGTTTCCACTCTGAACGAAATTGTCAATCGTAAGATTTTTTTCTTTCTATCGTAAGCACTGAATGGTTTTGTTTTGCTTTTTGTTTTGCAACAAAATATAGATCTTTTGAGATTATGTTTCTGTTTATTTTTAAGTTGTAAGCTGCTATGGGGAAAACAAGTTGCGGCAGCGTAATTTAGAAAAATGTTTCACTCTTTTTATATGTTATTTTTATTAATATGAAATACCTGTTGAATTTTAGATTTCATCAGAATTTTGAATAACCTGATAGAAGTTTTGATTCCAAAGCAATGGATTGACTTCGACGAAGAATTGTCATTCCTTAGTATTCTATCTGAATTAGTCCATATATTTGGCACAAGTAATGACAAAAACCTAATCCTGCAAGAGAAAACAGATGGTATATCTGAGAGATTGAGGGAAAAGGCTGAACTGTTGTTCGAACTTCGAACCCATGAAAAGAAAATTGCCACTATACAACGTGAGATAGTGAGTTTCTAAACCATAATTAATACCATTCATAAAACTAATTTATTAATGATAAATCATTTTATTTAATAAGGAGAATACAATGATTAATTTTGGGTCTCCTAGTCTAGATAGGTAAACATTTCAAGCAAAAACAACGTTTTTAATTTATAAAGGAATTAAATTTCCAGGCAGGTTAATGTGGTCTGTGAGAATACTTGTGTAATTTCGGAAGTTATTTTCCAGATGAGTGAATACTTTCAAAGAATACAAGACACCATAATGGATGTTCAGTTATTGACTTTAGAAACAATAGTGACTGGAGAAAAATTGGAATTTCAGAAACCTTTGATTAAATTAATAATAGACAAAACAACATATGGCGATTTCAGAGACACTTACATCAATGATAACATGAAGAACTCAAATATTCTTGGATTAGTTAACCTGAATAATACAGTCGACAATCCAAATACCTTACTGAATGTAATGGTAAGAATATATTTGTAACTTTTATACCTATTCTGTCTACTTGATTGAAATAGATACCTGAACAACAAATACCCTCTATGAAATAAGAATATACTTAATGCGAATTCAAATCCAGAATGTGCAAACAAGAGATATTTAGTGATTGATTCTGTTTTAGCTGTCTCTATACATCGTATTGTTCGTACATTTGTTGTTTTTTTTCCACTTCTAATTAATAAATTCACTGAAAATAGGGTGTTACATTTTTAAAAACTTTTTTCACTCTTTGGATTCAATATTTTAATAGGGAGATATTTGGTAGAGAAGTTAGGGTAGGTCACAAAAGTGACATTGGGTTCATATCAGTTTTTCTCTCCTTCAGGTTATTGTATACAAAAGAAATCCATTTATATTTGGTGGAAATTCCAGTTCCCTGACGTCAGATATATTTGTTTTTCACTTTGGAAACAACATGGATAATGATTATTTACAGCTAGAACTAAACTTAGAAAACAAAGTTAACAACACGAATAATTCATCTCTTCGATTATTCCAAAGACAACCGGCCAATGACCTGATATTTTACAAGTTTACTGTTTCAAATGATGATGACGTAACAATAATTTTTCTAAAGCCACAGAATTTTACTGTGGACTTGTCTACCCTCTCTTTGTTTGAAATATATATTTCTGACAAACCATATCCTTCAAACTCCTCGATGAAGGATAACGACTTCCAAGCGTCCACCTCGGTAAGAAACTGGGATGAAGACTATGGATTTAAAGTTTTTGTTCCGTCGGGTGTGTGTTTGAAAGGCGACTGTTATCTCGGAATAAAACCTTTAGGAGGTATGTACTAATATCGCAATCAAACGAAAAAGATTCTAACTACTGTTTTTTCGTTTTTAAAATTATAGACTTTATATATTTACAGTTGCTGAACTTGTTCAAGACTTGGAAAGAAACCACGAACACAATGAAACTATGTCTCCTAACTTTCAGCTTCTATTAATAACCACAACTTGCAGATCATGGGACAGAGCTAAAGAAGCCTGGATATCTGATGACTGCACTGTGAGAAAAAGTTTATCCTCAAAGATTGGTTTTTTTTATATTTAGCGCCAAATTTTAATTATACAAGTTTGGCAGAAAAGAAATTCATGAATTTTCTTTAAGTGGAAGAAAAATTTTAGAAATTGTCTTGTAAGAAAAAAAAATACTGGTAAGGTAAGAACAGTTAGGGGAAAATAATTCCACTTTGCACTCGCCCTTTAAGGAAATGTTTTCACAAATGTTGAGTACTGTTTGCAATACAATACTACTTATTTTCTACTAACCTCATGTTTTTCATAATTCATTACTCTAGGTACTAGAAATGTCAACAATCAACAATACCGTATGTAGGTGTCCCGGCAATACTTTCTCTACAACGTTTGTCGTTCCACCGAACACAATAAATTTTCTGACAGTCTGGGGGAAGTTTGATCCAAAGAATGGGGCTGTGTATGGTTCGCTGATCGTGTTAGTGGTGTTTTATGTAGCAGCATTGCTTGTCCTGAAAAGGGAAGATAAAAAAGATATGAATAGGGTAAGACTATACATGTACAGCATATACAACCTGCATGATTTATTTTTAAAATACCAGATAATTAAGTTTAGGATTTTAAGCATCATATCTGGATAAGGTCGTCCACAAGACGCAATATAAATGCATCCTCTGAAGTACACTGCTTTTAAGTTTCAGGTCTAGCACGGCCTACATTCAGTACTTAAACTTAGCCTGTGCACTGTTTTTAACTATAAAATCAAGATTATCCATTAAGAAGACATCACAATACTAGTTATTTTAAGAATACCATTATATTAACATAAATTAAATAGTTTTAAATAATGAACATCACAGATTATCTTGACTTCAGAAAAAAAATCGTTACTCTTTATACTATTAAACTGTCAAACTAGTATTTTTTCCTTCAGTGGGGAATTTCTTTTTTGTGTGATCACGACTCCCAAGACGAATACTTTTATACGATGACTGTTACTACAGGGTTCAGAAGAAACGCTGGCACATCATCAAATATTCATTTCGTACTCAGTGGGTCTGAGGATGATACTGCAATTCGTATTTTGAGCGACGGGGAACGCGAGGTGATTTTTTTTCTGAATTATGAAATGTAAATCGCCATGGTTCTATAGTTCAATTTACAGAAATGTAACAATACATTAGTTTGATATCGGTTGTTTTAGTTCTTTGTCTTAGGCCGCGATTGGGAATTAAGATTTACCTTTGTCTGTTACAGGCATTTACGACAGGAAGTGTCAGGACATTTCTGTTTGGAACAAAATCAACTTTGGGGACTTTGCAATATTTAAGAATATGGCACGATAATTCTGGAAAGGGGGGTCTTCAAGACTGGTTCCTAAGCAATATCGAAATAATAGACCTCCAAACAAATGAAAAGTGAGTTTGACTTAAATTCTACAATTTCTTTCTCACAACACCAAGTTTCTGAGTCCAATCGTGGCCGTGTGACCCTTAAACAGACTTAATTCATTTTTTTTTTTGGGCCAGCTTCTCTCATTTAGAAGCACCAATCAAACTGGAGCTATCTTAAGTTCACATAAAATGTAAACAGAAAGTAGGTTCCGAGTTCGATCAATATGTATTATTATGTAGGGAATTTAGAAAAATCGTAAAACAAAAAAGAAAACGCAGTTGTGTGAAGTTGTAGGATTCATAACTGACCAGCAGTTGACACTTCATAAACGTTTTACAGGATGATTGTGTGTAAGTTTTTATATAATTAGCTGAGAGATAAGAAAAGCAATCAAGATTTGATATTTCTACAAAAAACGTTGCGGCAGTTGGCCAGTAAAAACCCGAATGACGTTTGTTAGGGGTTACACGGCAACTGGTTGATTCAGGACCCCTGATATTATGAGGATGCTACAATTTATTTTAACCTCAACTTTTTTTGAAGAGGTTGCTTTATCTATACATTTAAAAAAACCATATTTGAACTTTTTTTTAGCAATACCGTCTAATTGAATAAGTTTTTCACGTTTTCCTTTGCAGATATATATTTCTTTGTGATAAATGGTTGTCCCTATACAAAGATGACTGTCTCATCGACAGAATAATCGTAGTATCTACCGTAGAGGTGGCAAAGTCATTTCAATTTCTTTTCCCGAAGAATTTACAAATCAATATAACAGAACATCATATGTGGTTGTCACTAGTCTACCGTCCCAGGAAAACTAAGTTTACCAGAGTACAAAGGCTATCATGTCTACTTGCGCTTCTTCATTTGAACATGATATCAAATGCAATGTTCTACAAGTCACCATCGGAAGACACATCGAATAATTATGTTCAGTTTGGAGGTTTTCAGTTTTCGCCATCGGTACTTTACGTTTCTCTTATGAGCATAATTATCACAACTCTGCCTGTGCTACTATTGTCAATGCTTTTCCGCAAAAGGAAGATTAAAAAGTGTTTGCGTACCGATTCAGAAGAAAACAAAAATTGGTCGGGGATTCCTTCAAAATTCATAAAAGAAAAAGAAGATGGTTTACCCTGCTGTGTTGTCTATGTTGCATGGATCTTTCTTGCGTTGACTGTGTTGATTTCTGCATTTTTTCTCCTTTTATACAGCATGGAATGGGGAAAAGAGAAATCTGAAGAATGGCTGTTGTCATTCTTTTTGTCTTTCTTTGAATCCATTGTTTTAGTGGATCCTGTGAAGGTTTGCATTTACTTCTGTTTGTTTTTGAGAAAGATTGAATACTTAGTATTTTCTATTAGGTTCAACAAGAGATTAGTTTTCCTCGTTGTTTTATAATTAACTTTTGGATTTTTTAAATTTTTAATTTAATCAGATCAAATATGAAGGCCTAATTTAGACGACATTTGAGCAAGGACAGTTTTATAAATGTCTTTATGAATTTTTTTCCTCAGGATTGCTATTGAAGCAGAGGAATGTTTTCAGGAATTGGTTTTTATATTTCTTGTTAGATGAAGCGCAGATAAAAAAAAAAAAGTGAAGATAACGGACAGTAATCGATCTCAAAAAATCTATAAACAATATAAATCTGTGAAGAGGGCATAAAACACGAACCCCTGGTGACATCCCCTGTTGACCGCTCTCACCCGCCGTGAGCTCTATCTATTGATCAGGTAAAGGGAACATTCCGTAGTCATTCAGTATAAAAGCAAACTCCTAACAATTGGTATGAAACAAGTGAGCTTAAATACGACCAAATGATAGGATATATTTGCATGGCCATTGTAACGACCATAGAATTTACGAAATGCTGACTTTAAACGAGGTTGTTGATATCCCTGTAACATCAACTTATCTGTCAGCGGCCTGCCTCGGTTTAAAAATTGATCCAAATCTTGCTAAAGCAAACTATCTTAAATAATTTCATTTGGATTTCTCATGCTTACATGCATGAAAACAAAAAATTGATTCTTAAGAAAATAAAATATGGGCTCACACAAAGTTTAAATTTAATTCAATGCATTCTAGGTTCTCTTGATGGCTGTTTTATTTGCAACACTGTTTAAGACAGCCATGTCTGAGGAATCGTCAGATATTTCTTTGCAGAAACTTAAGAAATACTCGAATAAACGGATCTTGCCTAACAAATACGAGTTCGCAGGTAAATAATTCTATTTTTCTTGATATTGATTGTTAAATGAATAATTCTTTTCCGTTTAACATTTATCTTAATTTCATACACATTTAAATTCAAGACATTCATTAATGATAAATAAAAAGTCACAACATGCTAACCTAACCATAAAGTGAATGAATTTAAAAAAAATTTCTTTAAACAGTTTTTGCCAGCAAAATACTCTCCAAACAAGAACCCCTTGGAGAAGAAGAAATAATAAAAATCAAAGAACAACACGAACAAGAAAAGAGAGTAAAGAAAGCCGTTAAAAGTCTTGTTTTAAATGCTGTTTTTCTCTTAGCAATCTACACAATCAGCTTTGTTGAGAGGGATCCAAACTCTTATTCTTACAAAAACAATGTGGGCAATTATCTTCATACCGCTGACTTGTCCTCGGTAAATACCACACTTTATACGATGAGTTTACCGTTTTGAATGTTAGCTGATCTTCCATTTTGTGTTACAACATTAACTTAAATCTGTGATTTGTTTCTCTTTTTCCTAAAAAATAATTGCTGAAGAGATACTATTGAATATGTTTAATGAAATTTTTCATTAAAAAATCTGTTTATTCCATTTGTTGAGATTCAGACCCTTTGTGTGGAAAAAAAGTAATAAATCTATTTACACAAAAGAAATATTATGATCTTCATTATGTACCACATCCCATTTCTATGATAGCACAAAAATATATTACTTCTAATCATTATTTATCAGCCACAGTGAAAATGCAAAGAATGACCATATCATTTTTTTCAGATAAGACACATACCAGATTTTGTCAGTTGGATAAATAATACCTTCATTCCGATACTCTATCCAGAAAAAGATTATACAGATAATGAACTTGATGTCTTGGAAAAACAATGGTTTGCAGACCGGGCTAGTATAAGAGTTGGTCCTGCCCAGCTGCGCCAATTAAGAATGAAACCAGGTGAATAGATCTTTTGTATTAATTTTTGAATACTTTATTTCGCCTCTTACACCGAAGATTAGTTGTAGAGTGATTCTGATTTTTGTGTGTGTGTGTGTGAAGTATCCGGAGAATTTTTTCAAAACTAATAATAATGCCTTTTTCTACCCTTAATCGAGGTTATGTTGATAAAACCAAGGTCGATTGAATTAAAATGATAAAATTATTGACAATTTCATAATTTAAAAAGGAGAAATATTTGGTGTTCATAGGAATTAAAATAAAATAATTCATGTCCAGTCAATAATTTTTTAATGGAACAACATTCGAAGCTCCTGTCTTGCAGAAGAGTAAGTTTTGATAAACGAATGTATCATGACCCAGAACCCAAGTCAATTTTACAATAAAAACATTCAACTGGATAAAACTGGGTACCACTCAGAATTATCCTGTTTTTGTAACATGTCTTCTTTTCATCTATGAAGCTGTACCAAATTGTCCAAAATCACTGGTGCTAACTGAATATTCATTTGGATAGAAATAAGACATGACTATTTGACATATCATTGTTAACTAAGAGAATTCGCCTGTATGTTTTTTTTTTCTTTTTAAAGATGCATGTCCTCTTAGGACAATAGCTCCAACGTATCCATGCTACAAATATTATTCCATTGCTGAATCTGATACATCACAGTACTGTGTAGGGTGGGCCAATCTGAATCCTTCCTGTGCAGAAAAGACAGAAAGTGACCGGTATTTTACCAAAACGTCTTGGATCTACACTAGTGCCGAAGACATCTGGGGCATACCATATACCGGAGAGTATAATACTTATGATGGCGGAGGATACCTTATAAAATTTACGAAAGACAGATATCAAGCTCGTATGATGTTGAACGAAATTAGCAATCTCAATTGGATCGACAGAGGCACCCGTGCAGTGTTTGTAGAATTCACCCTATACAATCCGAATTCAAATATGTTTATCACTTCAAAATACCTAACAGAATTCCTTGAGACAGGGGGTATTTTTACAACTATAGAATCACAGGCTTTTCGTCCAGTGGCGTTTGTGAGTTCATCAGGGCCTGGCATTGTTTTCTTTTATCTCGTATATATTGCCTATCTCTTATTTTTATTTGTTAAAATCTTAAAGAAACTGAGACAAGGAGGGTGTTTTCAGTTTGTAAAAGTCCCATGGAATTATGTAACGTTGGCGATATTGATATTGGGGGTTATATCAATTTGTCTATACATTGTACGTATAATATATACACGAAAGGCAATGCAACTCTTTTATGATGATAAATTAACTGGCGCAAATCAGTTTATTAACTTTAATCATATCATTCTCTGGGATAATGTTTTGAATGTCGTATTTTCGCAAGTCATTTTTCTTTCAACCATCAAACTTCTCAAAGTTCTAGGTTACAACAAGAGGCTTACACAGGTGATTTCGGTCATCTCTAACGCAGGGTATGACATACTAGGTTTTAGTATCATTTTCATCCTAGCGTTTTTAGGCTTTGTTATACTAGGCACTTTGTTACTTGGTGGAGAGCTTGAGGATTTTAAATCTTTTCTGTATACTTCTGGAACTTTATCTAACAGTTTTATTGGTAAGAATAAGCTAAGTTCTATGATAAAGGTTGCCCCAGTACTTGCACAAGTTTTCTATTTTGTGTACAGTGTCTGTGTTATAATGACTTTGGTGACGATTTGTGCAGCCATTCTGAATTCAAGCATTTCTGATGTTAAGTCTACTGTTCAAATGGAAACTGACAAATTTGGAATTTCTCACATGATCAGAAGGATGTTGTCCGATCTCTTTGGTGCTGGACTCAAAGAGAACAAAAACAGAATGGAATTATACAGGCCAGGTAGGAGTTTCAAGTTTTAGTTAACTTTAATTTTTTAACTCTATGCATAGTTTCCTCGAAAAAAAATGTAATTGAGATCTAAGCTATGAACAGTTTCATGAAAAAAATCAAGACTAAATACAGAATGTAAGAATTTGTCTAATATTTGTCCCATTTTGATAGACTTGGCATGAACATTTAAGATATTCATTAAAGAAGAAGGTATGGTTTTAGCTTTATTGTACCCTATGAATGTAATGTTTTCAGAAAGTTTTGAAACTGGCTTAAATATTAGTTGAGTATATGACTGTAATAAATCAGGAAAGCATATAGCATGATGGAGTACCATTCTTGATATATGACGTCATTAATTTGATGCATTTCTCTATTTTAAACAGAAAAAGCCTCAAAATGACCCATTTCAAGGGTTATTTTCCTTAAGAAAATAATGTCCACAGCCGTCGCCCACGTTAATTTTTAGATATGTTGTGTAATTTTCTTTGAAAAATCACATATCTCAAAATCTTTATGGGCCATGCCTGTGGACAATATTATCTGAAAGAAAATTCCATTGAAAATTGATGTCTTCTGCAACTTTTTAAGAAAATACGGGAAAATGCACAAGTTTATGACGTCACAATTAGCATTTGGAAAGTTATGTGAGAAAAAAAGATTTGTATGATCTTTCTGCATGGAATTTCAATAATTCAAAAAGCATGAGTTTTAATTTTTTACATCACTTTTATTTTTAAGTAAAACACAGGGAAAAAAAGATTTGTATTGAAACCGTACCTTGTTCTTAGATTTTTGTAGATTTAGTGGTTTGTCCCAAGGATGTACAGTGTTGGTCCTTATGTTATTTATTTTCATCGATCTGTTATTGCATTTTTTTGTATGCACTTTAATCTTGGTTACAATTTTAGGCAACCTGAAGGAATATATCCGAAATGGAGACTTCAGTACACCTAATGTCGTCAAACTTATCCGTGGCAGTTTCTATGAAGTGGATGACAAGGTATGGATGCATATGTGGAGGATTTTTTTACACTGAAAAACTTACATGAAATATTTCCATTCCATCGGCAATGTCCAAACCATATCTAATTTTTACATTGAATAACACCTCAAAACTTATAAAGAATATTTCAATTCCATCGACAGTGTTTAAAATCATATCCAATTATTAATTCTTTTGAGATTCTTATACATTGCTAATCTAACATGAACGAAAATGGTTTAACTATTATCCATTTCAAGAAAACAAGTGCTGTATCACTACGGATATATTATGGGACTTGTTGTCTTTAGCCATTTCTACACAGCTACACATGTTTGGATGGTAATTTCTCAATGTATGTATGTGTGTGTGAGAGAGAGAAAGAGAACGATGTGGAATACATTAATTTCCTAAATCATTTCTTTCTTAGCCAGTTGTACTTTAAAAAAAAATACTCATCGGAACATGCAGATCTTCTAAATGAAATACGTGGAGATAACGAACATATTTATCAATCTCTAAAACCTACAGACAATACAAATTCTTGAACATTACATAAAACATGTAACCCTGGAAATTCCAGAGATGGGATCAGGTGTCTAGGAGGAGTAAGGATCCCTGTCGACCCGACGTGATCAGGTAGACGGAGTAATCCGTAGTCAAATTTAGTGTAAAAACAAAGGCCTAACATGTCAATCAAAATACGACCCAATGATAGTTTATATTTGCTAGCAAGAGTATTGTAAGGACCATAGAATTTACGATATGCTGACTTCAAACGAGGATGTTGAAGTCTGTAACCTGTAACATTAATTTATTGATCGTACTCAGAGCATGCTTTTGAATATCAAATAAGTTTGGAGACAAACACACAGTGGAATGTTGCTACATAAATAAGGATGAAGTAATCTCGTTTGTCATACAGTTTAGTTGTTATTTAGCCCTTATCGTTTATAGTCAGTAAAAGATCCAAATATAGTCAGTAAAAGATCCAAATATGAAAAGATGTGGCAGACTTTGTGGTCTCTATGGTGCCTTTTATGTCGAGTTGACTGGGATATATATCCAGCATCCTTTAAATTATCATGAAGCATGAATGCATTTTCTGAGAATATAGCAAACATATCACAATCCATTAAATTCTACATTCACTGTTTCACTTTCAGTGCAATCCACTGTTGAAAGGAAAGTATCGAGAGGCTAGTGACGATGTACTGCTGCCAAAATTAGACTGTTTCACTGAAGATGTAAAGACTGCAATGACCCCAATGGACCAAGAGAAGTTTGTGACAGATGTCACTGATAAATTTTGCAGCATTCAGCTCAAGTTTATCTAAGATTTGACAGATTTATATTTTGTTTATAAAAGGAAAAGACATGGTACAAGTTTTAGTGTAGGGGTGTTTTTGCATTCTCAGAATCCTAAGCCTCTACTTCTTTATTAATTAAAGACAGTTGGGTATGTTTTCTGTATACAGGGCTCTTTCCACCCCTTCTAATTTTCGTCCAATTACTCCTGCAAACAAATTCGCCCTGTTTAAAGTTTGTCCTCACCGCCCACTTACGACAAGGGCAAAAGGGACAAAACTTTTCTTGTGTACAGTATTTCGTAATATTATACTTTCAAGTAAATTAATTGAACCTGATTCGTCAAGGAACATTGTTAAAAAAAACATTACCATCTGAATGATGAAACCACTCTCTCCAGCGTGATAGAACGTAGCAACAGTCAACATTGCTTGACTACGGGTGATATTCCGAAAGAATATTGACTGCGCAGAATTTATGAGCGCATGGGTCACTTTCATATGCATTGTGTAACATTGATTATAATATATAAATATTGCATGTAGTTAGGGTAAAACTGACAATTTTCACCCCTCAGAAACCATTGTAAACTACATGCAATATTTATAGTTACCTATGCATTGTTTTGAGTGATGAACTTAAGGTACAGATAGTTGCATATTTAAGAGTTATCAAATTATCATGAATAATACAAGTATACATTTGACTTCAAATATTGAAGTTGTGAGCATAATAATGTAACACAAACTCTTTTAAAGAAATTCTTATGGATTTCTCAACAGCTGAAGTTATTTATTTTTTGGTTCAGAGTATTTTGTTAGAATTGAAATGATTAAAAATTTGTTTCTTGAAGAGTA